TTTCGCGCGTGCGTACTCCATTTTGGGGAACACTAAAGTAGAGAGTTGCGCTACTGTATATACTGTGTCTAGTGCAGAAACAGAAACAGATCTCTTGAAGTAATACGTTCATGTTTATGCGGATTGCGGCTATGCGCAAGTGGAGCACGTGTGACACTGATAGGTTAGGTAGCGATTTGTTTGACTGCACGTGGATAGTCTCTTCGCAAATTTGAAAAGTTAGAAACAGATCCAAGTGAAAGAACGAAAAGCAGGATAGAAAGAAGAGATGGGCAAGTTAGCGCCTCGTTTGGCAAGTAGAAAGAAGGCGAAGCGATGGGCGAAAGGCCAGAGTTCGAGTTCCAACCCAGTTACCATGAAACATCGCGAGCAAGCGACTGGTATGTTTTTCAAGAATTTTTCCGGCACGCCAGGCATCACGAAGGAGGATCTATGGAAGCACGATGCTATCCAGGGTATTCAGCCGCAATTCGCCAAGCTCGACATAGACGAGGATCAGCTCGAGGAAAGTACCGTATATGAGACGGCTAATACATACGACACGTTCGCCACTAATTACAGCAATTGTTCCAACCTTTCGTTTGACAAGTTCCTCAGTCATTTTCAATCGAATTCAATCGTACACAAGGAGATGCTGGCAGTGCTGGCAACTGTCACCGAAATTATCAAGCAGAACGATGGTAATGAAAGCTCGACAGAGTACTTTGCTGCATTAATGAGCACTTTAGAAGTGGTGGAGGATGACACCTCTGTAGCAGCCACTCTGTCTCTACTCGGAATGTGTCTGAGAACGGTACCCAAAAACGTCCTAAATTTGCAATTTGGCCCGACAAGTCAGGCTCTTCTTCAGATTCTACAACGATATGTCGATAGTGAGAACCATCTCATTCTGCGACATTGCATAGGTTGTCTTTCAGTATTGTTGAGAGCGCAGGAGGCTGCAGTTTGGGTGAATTCCTCGACAATGCAAGTACTGGACGCTATGTTGTCATTTATCACTCACGCCAAGCCGAAGATACGCAAGTCTGCCCAACATGGAATATGTGCCATTTTGAAGGATAGTGACATAATGAAGAGCGAGAAACCACCGACTCATCATCCGGCTGCGGAAAAAGTCGCGAAGCACTGTCTCAAGCAACTCAACGATTGCAAACAAGGATCGTCGCTAGAGGTAACCACTATACTGCATATTCTTACATTGTTGAAGGATATAACGCATCAACTACCAGAATCGCGTGTAAAGACCATCTGTGAACGTCTGCTGGAGATCATGACTTTGAACAATGTACTGATAACGTCGTGCTGCTTGCAAACCTTGCATGGATTATTTGTCATGAGGCCGTCGGAAGCAACATTACCTTTCTCGCGAAATGCAAATATCATTAAAGCCCTTTATGACTATCAACCATCTGTGAATGACACACAGCCAACTTTGGCGTGGTTGGCTGTCATGCAGGAGGCTCACTGCAATTTGGTGACACACCTGACCTTGTCAAGAATCTCTTCCGACGTCTTTTCAACATTCTACTACGTTATACCAGAAATGTTCAACAGATGTGTTGAGCTCTTGCTATCGAACAAGATGGAGATCGTCAATGGTGCATCACACACTGTCAAAATCATTCTGCAGGAGTGCGTAGCACCTCTTTGCGAAAATGAGGAACGAATCGGCAAGTACGAACCCATTGTGATGCGCGTAGTCGAGATAATGCACAAGACCCTGAGCTATCAGTATATCGGAGCCTGGCGCCATGTTCTTCATCTTATAGCCGTGCTCTTCCAAGTTACCGGCAAGCTGAAGCTCCAGGAACTCGACAACGTTGTCAAGACCCTGGGAAATTTGCGAGATTCCCACGATTTTGCGCACAACCGTGACGCGGAGTATGCCATTGGAGCAGCGATCCGGGCTATGGGACCTCGAGCAGTGTTGGACATCCTCCCTCTTCGAATTGACGAAAACACGATCAATCTCAAACGGAGTTGGATGATTCCGCTATTGAAAGACTGTATAACTGGTGGCACCATCAGCTTCTTCAAGGATATCCTGCTGCCACTTGCTCTGCGGTGCGAGGAGAAAGCTAAAGGATCTCTCGCAGATAGGAAGATATACGAGTGCTTAGTAACGCAAATCTGGTCAATTTTGCCGAGTCTGTGCAATGACGCCAGTGACGTAAAGGATAACTTTAAATCTATCGCCAAGTTGTTAGGTGTAGCTATCAACGATCGGAGAGATTTGAGACCATCTGCGATGACGGCTTTGAGAAAGCTGATTAGCAAAGCGACCACTGAACAAGACAATACTGATGATATCGCTGAACTCGCTCGCTTCGCCAAGAATTATCTACCGATTCTTTTCAACCTGTATACGACAAAACCAAACGGCACAGACGAGGAAGGAGCGCGTCTCGCCGCGTTCGACACGATGAAGATTTATATGACGATCGTAAGCAGCGATTTAGCAAACGAGCTGTTCGATCGTGCGCAAAGCAAGCTCGAAGAGCCCGGTGCGGATGACTTCTTCAGAGAGAGCGTTTACGATCTGATGAGAGCATTGATCGGCTATACGGATGTTGACAGATTGAGCAAGTACTATGATAAGTGCGTGCCGATCCTGAAGGATGATACCAAACGGAAAGAGCAGAAGAAAGCTTATCGTTTCCTTGAGGAGATATGCGGTAGCGAAAGAGAAGTTTGCAAACAGTTTCTGCACCAACAACGACGTCAGATTCAAAACACGCTGATATTGTCGGCAATCAGCGTGATAAAGACGAGCAGAGGAGCGCGTCTACGATGTCTAACGCATCTCGTCAGAATACATCCGCAGCTCGAAAAGACCAAGTTCCTTGAGGCCATCGTGCCGGAAGCTGTGCTCTGCGTTAAAGATATCAATGAGAGGTGTCGCGAGGCGGCATATCAGCTGCTCAATACAATTGCTGAAAAATTTCTCAATAATTCCGAACACTTCAAGGACTATGTGGATATGTTAATGATAGGCTTGGGCGGTGAACAAGCGTACGTTAGCGCTAGTCTCCTTGCTCTCGCTTCCATCACTTACCATCATAACAGCTCTCTGGGTACGGACATCGTCAGCGAGATCTTGGCACACGCTTGCACGATTCTCACGAGTCCCACGAGAGAGATAGTCGAATCCGCGTTGTCCTACGTGAAGGTATACATCAACGTGACGCCGTCTATCGTGATGGCACCAACATTGTCACGGATAGTCAACGCCTTGTCGGGAATGAGTGAAGACTGTAAGCGTCACTTTCGACAAAAAGTACGAGACATCTTTACTAAAGTGATAAGGAAGTATGGCATAGGATCAATATCGAGTATGGTACCAGCTTCGGACGTCATCCTGCACAAGAGACTGAAAAATATCAACAAGATAGAGAATGCAAAGAAGAAAAAACGAGAACTCGAAAGAGCGAGGAAGCTACAGGAACGGAATAGCGACGAGGAATTTGACGCTAAGAGGAAACCTAAAAGCGTAGAAGAGATATTGGCTGACAGCGATGAGGAGTTTGAAGTTACGGAAAACGAACTAGAAAAGAAGAGGAACAAAAAAAGAACGCCAAGAAAAGACGCTTGGATTCAGGAGAGTGAAGATAATATAGTCGATCTTGCAGATCCCGCAGCTGCTAGAAACATCACAAGTTAGTCACTCAATTTTTTTTTCTCTGAATTCGTTTTTCTTTGAAAGAAGTCAAATTTTTAGAATTTTAATCTCTGTCAATCAAGAGATTGATTTTGAATTTCAATATACAATACATTGTCTCTATATCCTTTGTCTACAGACAAAACTAGAAAGAAATCAAGAATAAAACTTACTTTAAAACTCCTAATTAATGTTAATATCTTGTTGTAATCAATCTCGTTTTGTACGCTTTAGCTACACAACCAGGTGTACCGAATCCAAAGATTCCAATAAGGAAAACAAAGGATCGTGGCTTTGCGACTGCACCCGATGGTCGTCTCATCATTAAGGATGATAATGAGAGGGATAGCGATACAGAAGAAAGGAATAAGAAGAAGAAAAAGACTTCTTTCCTACAAAGTGATTCAGAAGACGATTACAGTAAATGTTTTGTAATAATTATTTTGTTTAGACATGGAAAAAAGTTTATATACCGAGAGATATATATTTCTATTTTCTGTAGTCGAGGATAACGTTTCGGTAGTGACCACAAAGACTGCTGGCAAGAAACGTAAATGTAGCGAGAGTACACTGGACGTGATGAGCTTGAAGAGCCAGTCAACGTCGAAATATCAAGGTAAATTTACAAATTTTTTTCATTAAAGAAAAGTGACTTTTTTTATTTTGTACAAATAAAAATCTTTAAAGACAATCTGTAAGAATTTTAAGACGATATGTTTGACAAATGTGATATGAGAAATTAAACTAAGCGATTTCTATAATAACGTCGGTAATTACAATTAATATTACAATGATAACAGGAAACATATCCTTATAATGATTATTGTAATAAATGATGAACGATTACGCTAGCTAATAATATTTTGTATCAACTTTTTGCATTTCTCATTAATTTCAGCTGGAGGCTCAGGTATTCATCGATCATTAAAAATGAGAAAAGTAGACGGTGAACCCGGTTCCGAGTATCGTGCGATAAAAGCTAGGGGAGATATTAAGAAAAAGGGTAAACCAGACCCCTACGCATATGTACCCTTGACAAGATCGATATTGAATAAAAGGTCAATAATAAGTATTTTAATTCATCTGTTGTATGTTTTTACATTTTCCATTTATTGATATATTAAATTGAACATTCGCATTTTACAGAAAGAAGAAGAAGAACGCGGGAAAATTCCAGAGCATTGTTTCTGGAGCGAGAAAGGGCGCCCGCACAGGTATGCGGAATAAACGAAGGAAGCGTTAAACACGAGTAACCGTCCTAATTATTAATCATAATATTATTTAACTATATATATTATAATTATATATTATGTAATTAATTATTATTATCAAATATATTTGAACGTAATTACGCTCAATGGCTTTATTTAGATATATGTGAACACATTGAAAGGATTAACATACCTTTAATCGTAATCCTTTGTCGTTGTTGCTCTTAACGCTCCAATTATACACAAAGGACACAGAATTTCTGGTTCAGGTGTACGAGATAACATATTTCCTAAATACTGCGATGTACATGGAAGAATCAAAGATGGAGATGTTAGTAATTCTGTTTCCAACGATGGGATAATGTCTGCTTCGTATTGAGAGATTGGAAAGTGATGTCCGCAAGTAAATATCATATTATCTTCTTCCGTTGTAAGCAAGTGATTTACAGCATCCGAATCCTGTTTTAATTTAACGTTAAAAAGTTAAGTAAAATACGATGCAAATTAAATCAACTATTGAATGTCAATTATATAATTATTGTAATAAGCTCTCTCTCTCTCTCTCTCTCACTCATTCACTCACTCACACAGATGACCATCTCAGAAAAATGTTACCTTGACATGTGCAAATAATTTGGAATTTTCCATTTCGGAAAGTATTGTATTGACGGTTCCTTCCATCATTTCTTCTGGATTATTATTTCCATTTGCACCTGGATATCCGTTTAAAGGTGTTCCGTAACTATCCGCCGTTAAAGAAGAGAAAATTTTAATATATTCCGGCATAATGTCATCTGAAATATAACAATTTCATTGTTATGCTAATCTATTATATTTCAAAAGTAATTTGAAAGATAAAAAATATCAAGCTAACAACCTTCATCGATATGTTGCATTAACAATGATAATACTTGAAGACAGAATTTAATTGAGAATAAATTATTCGCGCACCAGTCCTTTTCTTCGTCGCCGTACTTACTTATATTTAAATATCTTTCTATCACATCCTGACTGTGAAAACGATAATGAATTAAAAATATGAAGATGTTTGTCATTGATTTGTCTCATCTCATTTTAATTGATGTCATTAGGGATTCCCAAACTGTCCATACTTTTTTTGCAAGTTAGATCACAATTTTATAGTACATAATAAATTGCATATTTTACATTTTCTGGCTCTACTTCAGGAAGATGCTTAATATTACAACTACATAATTCGAATTTTTTATGAGTCTTGGAGAATCCCTCTGCATCTTTAAATAAACATGTCACATTCCAAACATAAGATAGTATAATAACAATAAGCTATTTAAGGCTATATAAAAATTACAGTAAGGTGTTGTTTACCAAAAAAGTAATAGTCCAAGAGGATAATAAATGATATGTATATGTTCGAGAAAAATATTCTCCAAACACTGTATCGGTAATTTGTGCTCAATCCAAAAACTAATTGCATTTTGCAATATTTCACATTTCACAGTATTTGATTCATTATTGATAGTTTTTAAATAAAATCTTAATGCTTTCATTGTTTCGTTAATTATGTAATTCTTTTGAGAATGAGAGAACATTTTGTCTGACAATATAGTCTTCTCTTTATTTTGGTCGCACCGATTGTCGTTGACAATTAACATTGATTTCGTGTAGATCGATCGAGTTGTATTTTGCCCAGAATTACAAGTGACGCTTTTATGTTGCAAAAGCAAATCGTTTTCATTAAAAATAAAATCCTTAATCCATTTCTGTTCATCTTCGTTAGAGTTATATTCGATGTTGGAGTGATTTGCATTAACGTTCGAAGAATTGTCCTTTTTTCGAGTTTTGTATAATTCTTCTAAACCACCTTGACAATCGAAAGAATTTAATTCTTGTGCTAGTGTTTGCAAATTATTCAATGATCTACTTGTGGAAATTTTCGTCCAGCTTTGAGCAACGCTGTTTTCCAAGGATTCTATGAGATTCTTCTCCGCTTGTGTATTAAATAATTCAGTATTTTTCTTGATATTTCGGGACGACATAGAATCTCTCATCACATCTACGTGATTTTGTGAACTAATCTGAATTGTGGATTCTGTTGTTTTATGTGACATTTCCGAATAATTTTTGGACTGAAGACTCAATTTATGTAACATCTTCAACTGATAAGTGAAAGCAGCCAAAACATTATTTTCTAATACTGCTATTTTAGAACAAGCTTGATAATTCTCTAATTCGATACACTGCAACAGAAAAAAATCTGTCTCAGTTGTTTTAATAATAATTGTATTATATTTTGTTTTTTAAACTGAAATTCAAATATTTAATTTAATATATTTGATTACAAAATTTATGTTGCATATTATTTTGCAAAAAAAAAGAACTTTATATTTCACGATGTGTTCTTCTCAGTGAAAGAAATGGATACAAATTTGTTTTTATTTAAAACATCTTTCTTCGAAAGAAGAAACATAATTTACGCAAGATATTAATTCGACTATAATGATTGATTGAGTAAATTGATGTTTTCTTTTTTTTTCTTCTTCTAATTGCCGCACTTTTCTTATTAATAATCAGATAAAGCAATCAACTAACCTTTTTCATAATATTGGCGGAGTTATATAAATTGTAGAAATATTCCAGAACGTAATGAAGTGTTAATTCCCCAGGTGATTTTTCGATAACGCTTAAAGGACAGACAAGTCCAGCGAGAGAAAACACATCATTAGATCGATAAGATATCACTGGCGTAGAAATACCAGGTACTTGACTAGGAACGTCCAAAGCTACGTGCAACGCATTAGGGAGTCGTACTATTCGCTTCGATGATTTCAGTAATACGAGTTTATCATCGGAATCTCGTGCATCTTTCGCAG